ACAATAGTCCGAATAATGTAAATAATGTACATAATACCTCATCTCAGAAATATAGACATATACTGAAGGGCCGAAACGTTGTAATAAATATGGCGACAAAGATGAGGACAATAGTCCGAATAATGTAAATAATGTACATAATACCTCATCTCAGAAATATAGACAGATACTGAAGGGCCGAAACGTTGTAATAAATATGGCGACAAAGATGAGGACAATAGTCCGAATAATGTAAATAATGTACATAATACCTCATCTCAGAAATATAGACAGATACTGAAGGGCCGAAACGTTGTAATAAATATGGCGACAAAGATGAGGACAATAGTCCGAATAATGTAAATAATGTACATAATACCTCATCTCAGAAATATAGACAGATACTGAAGGGCCGAAACGTTGTAATAATTATGGCGACAAAGATGAGGACAATAGTCCGAATAATGTAAATAATGTACATAATACCTCATCTCAGAAATATAGACAGATACTGAAGGGCCGAAACGTTGTAATAATTATGGCGACAAAGATGAGGACAATAGTCCAAATAATGTAAATAATGTACATAATACCTCATCTCAGAAATATAGACAGATACTGAAGGGCCGAAACGTTGTAATAAATATGGCGACAAAGATGAGGACAATAGTCCGAATAATGTAAATAATGTAAATAATACCTCATCTCAGAAATATAGACAGATACTGAAGGGCCGAAACGTTGTAATAAATATGGCGACAAAGATGAGGACAATAGTCCGAATAATGTAAATAATGTACATAATACCTCATCTCAGAAATATAGACAGATACTGAAGGGCCGAAACGTTGTAATAATTATGGCGACAAAGATGAGGACAATAATCCGAATAATGTAAATAATGTACATAATACCTCATCTCAGAAATATAGACAGATACTGAAGGGCCGAAACGTTGTAATAAATATGGCGACAAAGATGAGGACAATAATCCGAATAATGTAAATAATGTACATAATACCTCATCTCAGAAATATAGACAGATACTGAAGGGCCGAAACGTTGTAATAAATATGGCGACAAAGATGAGGACAATAATCCGAATAATGTAAAATAATGTACATAATACCTCATCTCAGAAATATAGACAGATACTGAAGGGCCGAAACGTTGTAATAAATATGGCGACAAAGATGAGGACAATAATCCGAATAATGTAAATAATGTACATAATACCTCATCTCAGAAATATAGACAGATACTGAAGGGCCGAAACGTTGTAATAAATATGGCGACAAAGATGAGGACAATAATCCGAATAATGTAAATAATGTACATAATACCTCATCTCAGAAATATAGACAGATACTGAAGGGCCGAAACGTTGTAATAAATATGGCGACAAAGATGAGGACAATAGTCCGAATAATGTAAATAATGTACATAATATCTCATCTCAGAAATATAGACAGATACTGAAGAGCCGAAACGTTGTAATAAATATGGCGACAAAGATGAGGACAATAGTCCGAATAATGTAAATAATGTACATAATACCTCATCTCAGAAATATAGACAGATACTGAAGGGCCGAAACGTTGTAATAAATATGCCAACAAAGATGAGGACAATAGTCCGAATAATGTAAATAATGTACATAATACCTCATCACAGAAATATAGACAGATACTGAAGGGCCGAAACGTTGTAATAAATATGGCGACAAAGATGAGGACAATAATCCGAATAATGTAAATAATGTACATAATACCTCATCTCAGAAATATAGACAGATACTGAAGGGCCGAAGCGTTGTAATAAATATGGCGACAAAGATGAGGACAATAGTCCGAATAATGTAAATAATGTATACATAATACCTCATCTCAGAAATATAGACAGATACTGAAGAGCCGAAACGTTGTAATAAATATGGCGACAAAAGATGAGGACAATAGTCCGAATAATGTAAATAATGTACATAATACGTCATCTCAGAAATATAGACAGATACTGAAGGGCCGAAACGTTGTAATAAATATGGCGACAAAGATGAGGACAATAGTCCGAATAATGTAAATAATGTACATAATACCTCATCTCAGAAATATAGACAGATACTGAAGGGCCAAAACGTTGTAATAATTATGGCGACAAAAAGATGAGGACAATAGTCAAATAATGTAAATAATGTACATAATACCTCATCTCAGAAATATAGACAGATACTGAAGGGCCGAAACGTTGTAATAAATATGGCGACAAAGATGAGGACAATAGTCCGAATAATGTAAATAATGTAAATAATACCTCATCTCAGAAATATAGACAGATACTGAAGGGCCGAAACGTTGTAATAAATATGGCGACAAAGATGAGGACAATAGTCCGAATAATGTAAATAATGTACATAATACCTCATCTCAGAAATATAGACAGATACTGAAGGGCCCGAAACGTTGTAATAATTATGGCGACAAAGATGAGGACAATAATCCGAATAATGTAAATAATGTACATAATACCTCATCTCAGAAATATAGACAGATACTGAAGGGCCGAAACGTTGTAATAAATATGGCGACAAAGATGAGGACAATAATCCGAATAATGTAACTAATGTACATAATACCTCATCTCAGAAATATAGACAGATACTGAAGGGCCGAAACGTTGTAATAAATATGGCGACAAAGATGAGGACAATAATCGAATAATGTAAATAATGTACATAATACCTCATCTCAAATATAGACAGATACTGAAGGGGCCGAAACGTTGTAATAAAATGGCGACAAAGATGAGGACAATAATCCGAATAATGTAACTAATGTACATAATACCTCATCTCAGAAATATAGACAGATACTGAAGGGCCGAAACGTTGTAATAAATATGGCGACAAAGATGAGGACAATAATCCGAATAATGTAAATAATGTACATAATACCTCATTTCAGAAATATAGACAGATACTGAAGGGCCGAAACGTTGTAATAAATATGGCGACAAAGATGAGGACAATAGTCCGAATAATGTAAATAATGTACATAATATCTCATCTCAGAAATATAGACAGATACTGAAGAGCCGAAACGTTGTAATAAATATGGCGACAAAGATGAGGACAATAGTCCGAATAATGTAAATAATGTACATAATACCTCATCTCAGAAATATAGAAAGATACTGAAGGGCCGAAACGTTGTAATAAATATGCCAACAAAGATGAGGACAATAGTCCGAATAATGTAAATAATGTACATAATACCTCATCACAGAAATATAGACAGATACTGAAGGGCCGAAACGTTGTAATAAATATGGCGACAAAGATGAGGACAATAATCCGAATAATGTAAATAATGTACATAATACCTCATCTCAGAAATATAGTCCAGATACTGAAGGCTTGAAACGTTTGTAATAAATATGGCGACAAAGATGAGGACAATAGTCCGAATAATGTAAATAATGTACATAATACCTCATCTCAGAAATATAGACAGATACTGAAGAGCCGAAACGTTGTAATAAATATGGCGACAAAGATGAGGACAATAGTCCGAATAATGTAAATAATGTACATAATACGTCATCTCAGAAATATAGACAGATACTGAAGGGCCGAAACGTTGTAATAAATATGGCGACAAAGATGAGGACAATAGTCCGAATAATGTAAATAATGTACATAATACCTCATCTCAGAAATATAGACAGATACTGAAGGGCCGAAACGTTGTAATAAATATGGCGACAAAAGATGAGGACAATAGTCCGAATAATGTAAATAATGTACATAATACCTCATCTCAGAAATATAGACAGATACTGAAGGGCCGAAACGTTGTAATAAATATGGCGACAAAGATGAGGACAATAGTCCGAATAATGTAAATAATGTACATAATACCTCATCTCAGAAAATATAGACAGATACTGAAGGGCCGAAACGTTGTAATAAATATGGCGACAAAGATGAGGACAATAGTCCGAATAATGTAAATAACGTACATAATACCTCATCTCAGAAATATAGACCAGATACTGAAGGGCCGAAACGTTTGAGTTAATAATTATGGCGACAAAGATGAGGACAATAGTCCGAATAATGTAAATAATGTACATAATACCTCATCTCAGAAATATAGACAGATACTGAAGGGCCGAAACGTTGTAATAATTATGGCGACAAAGATGAGGACAATAGTCCGAATAATGTAAATAATGTAAATAATACCTCATCTCAGAAATATAGACAGATACTGAAGGGCCGAAACGTTGTAATAAATATGGCAACAAAGATGACAATAGTCCGAATAATGTAAATAGTGTACATAATATCTCATCTCAGAAATATAGACAGATACTGAAGGGCCGAAACGTTGTAATAAATATGGCGACAAAGATGAGGGCAATATCCAGAATAATGTAAATAATATGGCTGTTCCTGGTGATCATAATTTTAAATCAAAGAAATTGGAAATCATACGAGATTTAAGTAGCCAGAATTCCGGATCGTTCATAAATGTCACCGTTATCATTAGGAACTAAAGGCCTACATTAAGCAAATCTGAATAAAGCCTACCATCTAGAAGTCTGCGTTACTTGGCACTGCAAATAACCGTCAAAGGGTACCCTCTGTCGGATGCGCCTTGGTGAAGAATACTCATAATTCAAGATCTCCGATCGAAACCCAAAAACCTTGCGGAAGAAGAGATGATAATAACATTTTTTTTTTTTTTTTTTTTTACATTGGTCACATAATCCCCACACTCTCTCGTGGGTTAACTTAAACATTTATCGAAACTTGTGCATTAAAACCAGCAACAGTAAAAATACAACTATTATGTATTACCTAAAATACGATACAGACCTATATAAATGATTGTTTTATTATTTGTGTGTAGATAGATAGATAGACAGACAGTGAAGAAAATTAGATAGATAGATTACGGAATGTGATTGATACGGAACAGAATGACATAGATAGATAGATAGATAGATAGATAGATAGATTACGGAATGTGATTGATACGGAACAAAATGACATAGATAGATAGATAGGGTAACGGAAGTGATAGATAGATAGATAGATAGATAGATAGAAATAGAGATAGATAGATAGATAGATAGATAGATAGATTACGGAATGTGATTAATACGGAACAGAATGACATAGATAGATAGATAGATAGATAAGCTTTCTACGGTTGGTCAACAGAAAATATATTTAGATTGTCGGAATATTTTTCCATTACAGCAAACACACATCTAAGTTTAGAGCAGCTCATATTCGGAAGCGGTCACCCATCGAAGTACTGACTGGGCTCGACATTGTTTAACTTCGGTGATCGTACGGGAACTGGTATTTCAACGAGATGTGCCCGTCAGCCGATAGCTAGCTAGATAGAACGAAAGAAAGAAACGAAACAAAAAGAGAGAAGTAGAATGAGATAGATAGATAGATAGATAGATAGATAGATAGATAGATGAAATAGAGTGAGATAGATAGATAGATAGTGAAGAAAATTACATAGATAGATAGATAGATAGATAGATAGATAGATAGATAGATGGAAATAGAGTGAGATAGATAGATAGATAGATAGATAGATAGATAGATAGATAGATAGATAGATAGATTGTGAAGAAAATTTGATAGATAGATAGACAGACAGTGAGGAAAATTAGATAGATAGATAGATAGATAGATAGATAGATAGATAGATAGATAGATAAAGAAAATTTGATAGATAGATAGATAGATAGATAGATAGATAGATAGATAGAAAAAAGATATGTAGACTATATATATATATATATATATATATATATATATAGAGAGAGAGAGAGAGAGGGGGGACGATTTCATATTTTATGAAGTTAATGTTTACGTCATAAAATTGCTATTAAATAATTGTTTTTGGTAAAATCTAAAAAAAGATCGAAGTCATTTAATGTTTTTTTCCCTGATCGATTTTCTTCTCTTCTGGTGGAAATCAGTTTTTTGGGGTTTTTTTTTGTTTGTTTTTTGTGTTTTTTTTTACGAGGTAAAAAAGCTGCAACATATTTTTTTTTTATTCAAAATAAATCCAATCAAGAAAATATTGGCCATAAAAAAAAAAAAAAAACATATATATAAACCTTTCTCGATTTAGGGGAATAAACCTAGTTTGTTTTTTGGGGTTTTTTTTTTTTTTACTTTTTTCTTCTTCGATGTACCATGTCCCTCTGGGGCATTGGCAATCATGGTTCTCCACAACTTCCTACCCTTTGTCACTCATAGCAGTGTCCGTCTTTTTGCTGTCTCTCGCTCTCTCTCTCTTTGCTCCTTTCTCTCTCTATTCCTCTCTCTCTCTCCTTCTCTCTCTTTTTCTCTCTCTCCCTCTTTTTCTCTCTCTCTATTTCTCTCTCGTTCTCTCTTTCTCTCTCTCTTTCTCTCTTTTTTCTCTCTCTATTTCTCTCTTTCACTCTTTTTCTCTCTCTCTCTCTCTCTCTCTATTTCTCTCTCTCTCTTTCTCTCTCTTTTTCTCTCTCTTTTTCTCTCTCTTTCTTTCTCTCTCTTTCTTTCTTTCTCTCTCTCTCTTTTTCTCTCTTTCCTTCTCTCTCTTTTTCTCTCTCTCTTTCTCTCTCTTTTTCTCTCTCTGTATTTCTCTCTCTGTTTCTCTCTTTTTCTCTCTCTCTCTTTCTCTTTCTCTCTTTCTTTTTCTCTCTCTTCCTCTCTCTCTCTTTTCTCTCTCTCTTTTTTCTCTCTCCTTCTCTCTCTGTTTCTCTCTTTCTCTCTCTCTCTCTCTTTCTCTTTCTCTCTTTCTTTTTCTCTCTCTTTTCTCTCTCTCTTTTCTCTCTCTCCATCTCTCTTTCTTTCTCTCACTATTTTTCTCCCTCTCTCTGTCTCTTTCTCTCTTTCTTTTTCTCTCACTTCCTCTCTCTCTTTTCTCTCTCTTTTTCTCTCTCCTTCTCTCTCTTTCTTTCTCTCACTATTTTTCTCTTTCTCTCTCTTTCTCTCTCTTTTTGTCTCTCTCTATCTCTTCCTCTCTCTCTCTCTCTCTCATTATCCCTAATCTGCCAATCATTTACACAAGCTTGTTAGATGTGTTATTTACTGCTTTCTTCCATCACTCTTGCTTTTAACTTCTGAGTATTATACTTTCCAAGTCGTCTTTCCTCATTATATGGCCTTGAAATTTCAACTCGTTCTGATTCTAAGCATAAGCGTCTTTTTTGTTTCCAATTTCCCTGAAGCCACTTCGTTGCTCACACGTTCAGACCATGGTATTCTAAGCATCCTTCTGTAGAACCACATCTACCTAAAGTGTTTTCTTCATCTGTGAGAAGATTGCCAAGAGTTCCTTGTCATAGAGGAATTCCAATATTGCATAACAGTTCAGTACAGTTTTCTTGGTTCCTCACGATATTTCATAGGGTTTTGGTTTTGTTTCGAGGTTCATAACTCCGACCCTAACAGCTGCGTCAGTGTCGACTTCGGAACAACAGCAATTCAGATGTGGATCCATGCTCTTCAAAACCTCTCATCTCCCAATCAGAGTTCTTGTTGCCGGATGTAGTTTATCGTCATACCCAGAACTACGTATAGTCTTTTTTTTTCTTCTTGTGACTGCTCTGCGCAGAAACATTCAGAAGTTTGTAAAGAAAGTATTTGCCTATAAACAAGCTTTTTTTTAAATTTATATCGTAACAGCATCGACATAATTCGTTTTAATCTAAGCCGATTATAATTTGAATACTATTTATTAATACCTTGTTTTTACTCGAAAGGTTTGCATTCAAACTCGCCATACACGGACGAAACAATAATGATAATCTGTTTTTGTTGCATGAAATAATTCAAAGCAACGACAAACTCGTGTATACGAGACGCGGAAACGAAAATCGCATCTCAGCTCGTGACGCCACACGTGACCACGCGAGAGGGAAAACGAGAAGTATGGGAAGCCATTGGTATAAACCAATGGCTTCTATTATCAATTATAGGCAAGAATGCTTGTGGAGATTTCGTAGTTTATTTTGTTCAGGTTAGGTTTCAACTGTTTTATTTACATAGCTTCAAGAATTATTAGCCCCTTCCGCGTCTCGTATACACTAGTGTTGTGGTAGGATCCACCTAATTTGCATAGTGGAGTACCGACCATATAAATATGGTTGGTTTGAAGAGAGGGAGGAATCAAGAGATTCAATCCAGAGACTCTGCCCGACTGCGACTCAGTCAACACATTCTCCAGGAACGGTCTTACCAGGAATATACAAAAGACTATATGTAAATATTGTGTACACTTTCTTGTTTCAATACATTTTGTTCTAAGTACATTTTGTGTTGCATTATTATTCCATGCATTAGTCAAGTTTCAACAACTAGTTAGTCGTTGTTTTGAAATTTTTCATGCAACAAAAACAGATTGTTTCGTCCGTATTGTGATCTTTGATAATGGGTTATGTAAGCCTAAAGCTTAGATTGAATTTAAACTTGTATCAATATGGTGATTTCCTTTCGTCTTTCAATGACAATGTTATTAAACTTATCAAACAATATGAAAGGAACATACTTAAAATAAATATTCAAAACTTGTCTATATTATTTAATGAAACATGCATCAATGAAAAAATATATATATATATATATATATATATATATATATATATATATATATATATATATATATATATATATATATATATATATATATATAGAGAGAGAGTGTGAGAGAGATGGTCATTTTGCAATAAAATATGTTTTTCGTAGTTCTACTATAAAATTTGGTATGGGCATGTGGCCGAATGGTTAGAACGTTTGCATTCTGTCCATGAGGCCCCGGTTCGAATCTCACCATGGTCGATTTGTCAGGGATTGATCCCAACGTGCAGCAACTTTAGAAAGTGTCTGCAAACCACACCACGGGTTGACCCAAGCCTTGTGAGTGAAATTGGGTAGACGGAAACCTCGATAACTGTGCTAGCACGAAGTCACAAGTCATCGTGACCGAGCGCGCTGGCTTTGTTCAAATTGTTGATATATTTTTGCTATATATATATATGATCACGCTAGATAACACTCTCTTTCCCAGAAACTGTAACTAAGGTCTGCTCAGGATAATTGCAGTATAAACGACAGGTGGGCTTTTGGGTGATGAATAAACAAAAATGCTCCTGGTAGACGTTTATCTTCGAATACGAGTAAATAAAATTAACTGCTGGTCATTTTTCTTTAAAAATGTATTGTTGACAATTTTAGAATAAAAATGTATTTTTATACTTTCATAGGGTTTTGGTTTTGTATCGAGATTTCGAGGACCTTAACACCCTTTCAGTGTGGACTTCGGAACAACAGCAATTCAGACGTGGATCCATGCTCTTCAAAACCTTCCGTCTCCCGTTCTTACTACCGGATTTAGTTTATCGTCATACCCAGAACTACGTATAGTCTTTTTTTTTCTCCTTCTTCTGCGGAGAAACATTCAGAAGTTTGTAAAGAAAGTATAAACAAGCTTTTTTTTTTAATTTAGATCATAATAACATCGACATAATTCGTTTTAATCTAATCCGATGATAATTTGAATACTATTTATTAATTCCTTGTTTTTAATTGAAAGATTTCCCATATATTCATAATAAGCCACAAACACGTTGTCCATAATCAGTCAGACGGGCACGTTAACCACTACATTTGCTTAGCTTCGCGGAGTTGTAACAAAACAAACGGTGTTGGTTAAATTTTCACGATATATACGAGATCTGATCCAAAATTATCGGTGCTGTTGCTATAGTAACGGTGCTAAAGTACACAGAATGAAGCCGCTTGGAGCCTATTTGTCTTTGAACTTTGTCGCGTATATACAACGAATTATTCACGTTCTAGCCCACCTCCGTTGTTTATAGCAGAGCTTGGAATGAAAGTGTGTAGAATGCGACCGTCTCACTACGCCACGGATGTTCCATCAGTGACTATGGCTTGTGAAGCAATTTTGACCAAGAACAACATTCCCCAAGTTCAGCTTCCACCTAATTTCCCAGACATTCTCCCTTGCGGTTTTTAAACTCTTCAAAAATCAAATCTTACTTGAAAGGAACGAGATTTCAAGACGTCGATGAAATTCAAGAGACTGCGACGAGCTAAAAAAAAAAAAGAGGTTCAAGGAATGCTTTTATTACTAGAAACAACGCTGGATAAAGTGTGAATGTTCAGAAGAGGACTACTTCGAAGGAGATTCTTCTTCTTCATGTGTCTTTTCCCTTTAGGACGTAAGCGGTCGTGGCACTCTACGATTCCTGTCAAAGAGTAATTGGTAAGGTGATTGTCTCTTGTGGTGTAGTCCCTTGAGGAAAGCTGATTTCTCTGTTCCATTATTGTTTATTTTGCTCTTGTGCAGGCCTGAATCTGTCTTAACTGGAACTGACCTTGGTGAAAAAGCCTTGCCTATTCTAGCGGGATTGGCGTTGGGTATATTGACCCAGACTGTCATTTGTCATTTGTCGAAATAAGGACGCTCTTTGGTCCGATGACATTTGTCATAATTTTGTTTTTGCCTGGCTTTGAGACGAATAGCTTTTCGTTTTTTCTGTTCCCTAATTACTTTCTGATCTAAGAAATTGTCACGGAAGGGAACTGTGTTCTCACTTTTCTGTTCATCAGTAGCCTGCTCGAGAGGAGTGCTTCAATAATTAAGCAGTGCTACATATGGGTCATATGCTTTTTTTTCTTTTTCAATAGGTTTTTGACAGTCTGGGCTGTACGTTCAGCTTCTCCGTTTCCTTGTGAATGGTGGGGACTACTTGTGAGGAGCCAAAAGCCAAAACATTTGAAAAATTCTGTAAATCTCTTGCAATGAATTGCAAGATAGATAGATAGAAACAAAACAAATGCAGAAAGAAAATATAGCGAGGCAGATAGATGAAAACAATGAGATAGATAGAAAAATATATATATATATATATATATATATATATATATATATATATATATATATATATTATTGAACGACGTATAGTCTTTTTTCTCTCATCCGTCTGCTCTGTGCAGAAACATTCAGAAGTTTGTAAAGAAAGTATTTGCCTATAAACAAGCTTTTTTAGATCATAACAGCATCGACATAATTCGTTTTAATCTAATCCGATGATAATTTGAATACTATTTATTAATTCCTTGTTTTTAATTGAAAGGTTTGCCATATATTCATAATAAGCCACAAACACGTTGTCCATAATCAGTCAGACGGGCACGTTAACCACTACATTGATACAAATGGTCTCATCTGTTGCTGCAATAGCCATTTAATTAAACTGACACACCCTGAATGGAAACTATTGTTACTTATTTCATTCTGTTTATGTCTGCCTCACTCTGAGCCGTGTCGTCGCGTGTGTCTCGATTTGAAAAGAAAAATGGCGTCCTGCCGGTCGAGTTTCGGAAGCTGTGGCAGACGAATAAGAGAAACGGGAAGTTCATTGTTTAACACAGGCGCAGTTACAAATCGCTGCCATGTCTCCAAGTAAGAGTGGGTTGAGGGAAAATAAAAATCTTTTGTGAGGATTTCAGCAAACATGGCTCACAGCCTTGTATAGCAAAATTCGCATCTTCGCCATTTGTTCTGAAAACAGGCGGTTTTGCTCAGGTGTTAGAAGAGAGCAGAATGAAAGTACGCAAATTCTATTCTATTTCTTCAGATTCAGACATGAAAGGCAAAATTCAGTTCGTTGTAGAAAGAAAGAAAGAAAGAAAGAAAGAAAGAAAGAAAGAAAGAAAGAACGACAAAGATGAATCACCTCCCCGTGGTACAGTATAAAAAAAATGCCGGCCTTGTGTGTTAGTTGTAATGTAGTGGTTTCGATTTTACTATGTGCCCCACACACATGACTTTCTACATAAGGAATTTTAAATTTAGATAGATAGATAGATAGATAGATAGATAGATAGATAGATAGATAGATAGAAAAAAAGAAGCAGAATGAGATAGATAGATAGATAGATAGATAGATAGATAGATAGATATGTTACTAAGCTAGGTAGCTAACCAGATAGATAGATAGATAGATAGAGAGATATTTTAAA